TTTTTTTTTTTCTTTCTACGTCCAGATGTGAACATTTCCGTACATTGTTGAATGAAACTGATGAAGACGCCATAGAAATCAATCAGTTCTCCTACCTGGTGTACAGAGCCTTCCTGGAGTATCTCTACACCGACACCATTAACCTGCCACCAGAGGATGCTATAGGTGAGATGAACAGACTGATATATATATTTTGTTTTTACAACGAGAGAGAACTAAAACCTTAAAACAAGTCTGGTGAAGGTCTAAACATGCCCAGCTGAATATTATCGCCCCGTGTGCAGGGCTGCTCGACTTGGCTACGTTCTACAGAGAGACCAGGCTGAAGAGGCTGTGCCAGGAGACGATCAAGAGGGGAATTTCTGAAGAGAACGCCATCACTCTGCTCTCGGCTGCCGTCAAGTATGAGGCGAAGGTAAGCTCGTAGCTCCAGAGTCACAGTCAAACGCCGTAGTGATGGTGGAGGGAGCCTGCACGGTACCAAATCAGGTGTACTCCTCAGCACTCACCTCCTTCATTTGTAGGACCTGGAGGAGTTCTGCTTCAAGTTTTGTGTCAACCACCTAACAGCGGTCACGCAGACCCAGGCCTTTGCAGACATGGATCATGACCTGCTCAAGAACTTCATTAGTAAAGCCAGTCGCTACGGGGCCTTCAAAAACTAGAGTGCCCCTGCAGTGACGGATCCAAGAAGGACTGGTTTAATCCCACTAAGGAGAGCCAACCAAAGTCAACTCCCGGCTGGTGAGCTCTTCAAAGATTTGCCACGGGAAAAGTAAATATCTCAGAGGCAAACGGTTTAAGGTTTCAGCTGCTAACTGATGCTGCTGGGTCACTGCTCTAAACCCTGTCCAAACACAGCGAAGCGGGGCATAAACATTGGGTTGGGTCACTAATCCATCCTCAAGCAGGAGGTCCAGAGACTGAACACGACAACACGCCTCTGAGGTTCTGATTCTGTCATTTTTACCTTACTGAAGCTGCTTGCTTTGCTTCAGCCATACCAAACAATCTGACTCAGATTGTACTCGGGTAGTATTCTAATTTAGATGTATATTAATATAAAAATAGTTTGTGTTTTTATTTCTCTGCACTTCATAACACAAATACTCAGCGTGATTATACGATACATGGAAGTCTAGTCATCTTTTTAAATAATCAGCAATAAAACCAAGCCCTCATGTTCTGCTGCTTTGGACTTTTAACATGACCAGCGTGTCGGTCAAATTGTGTTAGTCAATTGAATATACCTGTAAATATTGTACATTGGCTGTTTCTTTACATTAATTTAAAGCACTTAAAGATGATGATTTATTAGAGTGGCTCAGACTGTCGTTTACAGTACAAGTACACAGTCGTTTTAAGAAAAGTGCAGACTGTGTCCAACTTTTTAAGAATTAGGAATGTGTGAATAAGGACCAGCATTTATGCAGTTCTTAAAGGTTGGGTTTGATTAATGATCAATTTTTAAATAAATCTATTTGTTACAACTCATCTGTATGCAGACCAGTCATCCATCCTGGCTGGTTTCTATCTCCAGCAAACACTGTATGGAGGCAGGGGCCACCCTGGACAGGTCGCAAGTCCATCACAGAGACACATGGAGACAAATGAGACGTGCATGTCGCATGCAGTCCAAAGCTACAATGATGACATTTGTGTTGACTCATATGTGGACAGAACAGAAAAGTTTCTGATTTTATAAAAAGGTCAAATTTATGTAGTTCTCCTGTTCAGTTTGATGCAGATTATTTGATATTACACTGTCAATGCAACTTTTTTTTCCCACTTTTGTCCCTATAAGTTGGTTTGTTTACACATATGTTATTTTTATTTCTACTAACTGATCCACAGCGAATGTTGGTTTGTGTACCAATGATTTCTGTGGCACCGCTTGGCATCAAAGCCACGCTTTTATTTCTTTTTAAGGCTGTTTAGAATGTTTTTTTTTTTTAGAATTTTTACAATTCTTAGAAAAAGTTTTTATTTTTTATGAAAAATGCTTTTAACTAATAATATTTGAATATGTTCTGTTGATACATTGCAATAAATATGTTGATAAATAATTTTGTTGATGCCTTTGTTTTACAAACAGCCACCACCAGGGGGCGGTGTTATTTTCACACATGCCATGGGTGAAAGTTTTCCCTAATTTCTTACCTGTTTATTAGAGTTGCTTTCAATAGGTCATTTTCTTTAAAAGTTGTTGGAGTGTTTGAAAATTTTACTGAAATCCTCTGATCCTTGCTGTGAAACGCTTCATTATCGATGGCGTGTAGTTTTTAAAGGAAGCAGCAGCAATGATTTCATCTCACGTGATCTAACGCGGCACAGCTCGTGTGTTCGCCCTGAAATGCTGCAGATGCAGTTTCAATTCTTCACGGAAGAGCAACTTCCTGTTTATCCCCATGTTTTCTTGCCGTTCTATCTCATGCAGTCAGACTTTTACACGCCTGCTTGTTGTATAAAGTCGAACCTTTTAATTTTGCAGAGATTGCTGAAGGTTGTCCTGATTCTTTTTATGTTTCGGCCAAAAGAAAACACCTGGCATTATGAAGTCAAACTGATGTTTGGGTTTGTTTTGATAAAACACATAATCACCTCCATAGACACAAATGAAGCAAATAACTAAAGTCCTTTCCTTTAATAATTTAATGGTGACAAACTTTTTGAAAATTGATCTGCCCAGAGCACATGTTGCATTATATGTATCATAAAACACTTCATTCATATCACCTCACAGGTTTCTCTTTCCTAACAGATCTTGCAATAAAAAATCTTATAAGTTGTTTTCTGAATGACATTACATTGTGCATGTTCTCACACAAGTTTACTCAGCTTATCAGGTACCAGTAAAACAGTTGTGTACTGCAAACAAGGAAGTGCACGCACCGAAGAGTAACGGTCACTTTCGTGTAAATTGTCCCACAAACAAAGGGCTGAACAAAAATTCTTTGCTCAGAAGCAAGAGATCTTCAGCAGAGGAACTAAAGCAGTAAAATGTGACGTGGAGGAAAATGGAAACAATAAATTGGAGAGTAGAGAACTACAGTTTATCAGAGTTTCTCCTTTTTTTTTTCCCGCCCCCCCAGAGTTATTGTTACCAGTTTGTGGTTCCAATGTGTGGTTTACTGTTTGAATCTGTATTTCTTACTGACACGACGACGACTCACTTCTGTTTCTTAGTTCTTTTTTCTTTCAGAACTGGGCTCTTGTAACTGGGTATCCTGCAAAACAAACTGCTGCACCATCATGCTGGCCTTTCTTTAATCCTAATTTAAAATCTGCGGTTTAACAGTCTGGTGGCTCAGGATGTCGTTGTGATATGACGGGACATTCAAATGAAGTGAAGAGCTAAAAAAAAAAAAAGGGCACGCCGAGCCTAAAATTTTAATATTGAACAGACGCATGTCACATGCAGTTCAAAGCTAAACTTATTGACATTTATGTTGACTGATATGTCCAGATGGCATGGTTTAATCGGGTGGTGGCGTGTAATCTCATTAAGGCCAGACTGACATACAGGTGCTGGTTATAAAATTAGAATATCATAAAAATGTTGATTTATTTCAGTAATTCCATTCAAATAGTAAAACTTGTATATTATATTAATTCATTAATATAATATACAAGTTTTACTGACATATTTAAAACTTTTATTTTAATGTTGATGATTATAACTGACAACTAATGAAAACCCCAACTTCAGTATATCAGAAAATTAGAATATTGTGAAAAGGTTCAATATTGAAGACACCTGGTGCCTCAGTCTAAACTATTTAAATCTAAACACCTGCAAAGGCCTTTAAATGTTCTTTCAGTCTAGTTCTGTAGGCTACACAATCATGGGGAAGACTGCTGACTTGACATTCGTCAAAAGATGACCATTAACACCTTGCACAAGGAGGGCAAGACAAAAGG